GATATCCAGTGTAAGCTTAGTGAAGACTCACAGGGGTTTAAATGCCCAAATCCCTACAAGTAACTAATTGAATTCTGTCCTTGAGTATAAGGAAAATTTGCTTCCATGATAAAATAGTTTCACTTGGACTTCAAAGAAAGATGGCTAAGGTTTACCAGGAGCATTTCATATTTTTCTTATCCTTAAAGAAATGTGTGAAATTCTAATGAAGTAGTTATCCCGGCACTATTGATCAAACTCAAGAAATTTGGAAAATTTCCTAAGGAAATTTTTTAACATCCAAACTCCTGATATCCCCATTTCAGCCACAAGGAGGACAAGAGAATAAGTATGGTGTTTATAAGAATGCTAAGTTACAGGAAGAGAAGTAATATATACATTCTCTAAACTAAAATTATGCAAGGATGCCATTGTCTTTTTTTAAATCAAATACATTTAGAAGTGATGTTTAGAAGAATAATGCTTCTCTTTTATACCCCTAAATGGAAAATATAATCAAAATCTACCTCTTTTGCAGGATCACTTTCTTAAATGAGCAGAGGGATGAATTCCATGGCTGTAAATAAATCTGACATATAATAAAGCAAAGTTTGACTGTTAGCCATGTTAGCAGCCACCTGTATTTTTCAGAAATTTCATTTCATTTCACATTATGAGAGTTTAGTCGTTGTTTGTTTTTTGTTTGGTTTTGTTTTATTTTTCCTCCTCCTCAACTTACCTTTCGTGAACCATGAGAACTTAAGGATTTATATTTAGAAAATATTTAGAAAATATTTCATATTTAGAAAAAAGGGGCCTTCACCTACGGGCTTAGGGCTCATGCAGAAACAGACTGCTCTGGATTCTCTGTGTCTCTGCAGTTATATTAGATGTGCCCATGACAAACAACTTGACAGGTGTCTTCTCCTGGCAGTGATGTGGAAAGTCAGAGTCTATACAAGTGAGAATGGACACGTGCAGACACAAAACGTATTGTGAGATCAACAGGGCAACTTCACGTTAGGTTCCTGGCACCTGGCACCATGAAATACTATCACAAGGCCTGTTTTAAAAGCCAAAAGATTCCCAGACTACTTTATAGCTGAGGTACAGACCCAAAGCAAGACAAAGAAGGTCCGCAGGGTAAGGATTCTCACACCTTGTTTTGGGACCCTCTCTTTGAGTGCGGAGATTGGAACAGGTAGAGGAAATCTATAATGGCACATTCTGAAGTCTGAAGGAGTAGAGAAGCCCAGCTATTAACCAAGCAAATCCAGCTAGAGGCTTTTTTGTTGTTGTTTGTTTTGTTTGGTTAATATTTTTAAAACTACATTCCACTCAGAAACCTAAGGTTCTCCAAAGTCTGTTTTGGATTTTGTGGGGGTTTGTGCACGGGGAGATAAGTGTGGTTGTTCCTGTGAAATTATTTATACTTTTTGACTTTAAATCAATGGTGAGCATAATGTTCTTAAATCCATTTCTCTTCTGTATCTTATCGGTGGGCTCATCTTGGGCTGCATGCTGTCACTCAAGGAATGCACTAGAGAAGACAATTTAGGAGGATAGAGGGGAGCTTTCGATGGTAGTATATAGGTGATGACATCCTTCACCTGGGCTCAAGCTGCAGGCAGTGTTTAGAAGGTATCAGTGGAGTTAAAAATCTAAAAAAAATACATATATTTAATATATTTCATATGTCAGCCTAATGTAAATTTTAACAGGCCTGAGGTGAACAAGAATTAGAAAGGAAGTCTCAGAGAAATATGTGGACTAGAGTAATAGACAGGAGGGACAGGAAACAAATGAAAAAAAAATCAACAGTGTGTTAAATTGGAGAAGGACATGCATTTTATCAGGATAATTGTGGGTTATCTCTTTGGAGTAGTAGAAGAAAAATAAACCAGTCTCAAATTTATCCTCTGATACATCTTCTCAATATTCAGCTGGGTCCCTAAGTAGAAGCAGCCTTACCAGAATCCCCGGCTACTTCTTTTGACATTTTGCAAAAAGTAAATAAATAAATTATAACAAGTAAAATGAATAGTTCCAGCTCTGACAGACCAGCAGCATTTCCAGATTTTGTACAGCATTAAGGATTTTTCACTTTGTTGCCCAGCAGAGAATTAATTGAAAGGTCCATCTAAGCTTCCCATGCTTCCTCGGGACGAAGTCAAAAACAGAATCCCCAACACTCAGTGCCAATTTAAAAAAAGAAGAAAAACATTACGTGGATAGGTGGTCAACTCATCAACTCTGGAAATACACATCCCTGGGGATCGATGTCACCGAAACCAGATAAATGGGTCAATGAAACTAATGGTTTTAAGAACATGTGACTATGAGACTGGCAACTGATTCATTGGATTGATTCATTCACCAGATATTTACTGAGCTCCTACTATGTGCTACCCACTCTTCCACACACTGAGGATATAACGAGAACAAGACAAAGGCTCAGATTTTAGGGAACTTAAGGAGCTAGAATACGAAAAAAAATACAGATAAAATTATTTCAGAAAGCGGGTAGTACTGTGAAAGAAATAGAACAAGGTAATGGGATAAAGTGCCTTTCAGGGGTGGTGGTGGCTAAGTTTAGATGAGGGCCAGAGAGGGCCTCTGGAGGGGTGACATGAAATGAACCAGTCACACAAAAATCTTGGGAAAATGTCTTCCTTACAAGAGGCAACTGCAAGTGTAAAGGCTTCCCCTTGGAAAAGAACTTGACACAAAGAGTGGAAGGAGGGTCTGGGAGACTGGAGAGTAGTGAGTGAGGGGTCACCTGGCAGAAGGTGGAGCTGGAGAAGTAGGCCAGGTCACCTAGGTGCACTGAAGGCCATGACACAGTTAGAATAAATCCAAAGGGCAGTGAGAATCCATCTGAGGGACTAAATTAAGGAACAGTTGGATTGAAAGGAAATTATCATCTACTTTAGGGAACGAACTTAGGGTAGGAAGGTGTTTTTTGTTTGTTTTCTTTTTTTCTAACTTTCTACTAATAACATATGGCCCTAACCACATCATACTTCACCTCCTTGGAGTTTTAGCTTATTTTTCTACTGAACAAAGAGTGTGGCCACTCTTCGTTGAATGCTATGCCAGATGTTGTATATACATTATCTCATTTATATGAGATAAATGAGGGAAGGCATTATCCATATTTTACAGAGGAGGAAACAGATTTAAATTGAGTCTCCATAAACCACCCCTCTTGCTTGCTGTAGTGCTCCGGTGTACATGTTGTTAGTTTAAGGCCACCATCCAAGGGCAAAAGACCTTGAAAGAAGGCCACCTCCTTTGGAGGCTTGTGGATCCCAGATCACCCTTACAGCTGAGAGCCAGACCAGTTGGGATGACTGTGCACCATTTACCATGAGGCAATGTGGACCTTTAAAAATACTGATTTCAGAACCAGAATGCCAAATCACCATCGTCAATGCTAAAATGGACTTGATATTTGACCTTGAAGACAAGTCATCCATAAGTTTCTTAATGTTTATCTGTTAGAAATTCTGATTTCCTCAACATCTCCTCAGGGTGTCCCAAGGATGAATAGGATTGTCTAATCCCTGTTTGTTTGTTTGTTTGTTTTTTCTTCAGTGAGCTTAAAATGTTCATTGAGTAAAATAGGTGCTGTAAGCTCTTTTTTAAAAGACAAATCCCATCTAAATATTATATATATATAGAGAGAGAGACATGGCGACATATAGATATATGATATAGACAGATATATACATTTTAACATATATATGATTATATATCTATGATATATATGATTACATATGATATATAAATACATGATTTAGCCAGCAAGTATCATATAGTATATACATGATTTAACCATCAAGTACTATTCCCTCTGCCTCCCCCCAAATGTAATGTGCTTTTTTAACTAAGGTGAATACGAAGGAGGAAATCAAAGCTAGCACGATACCCCTGCCCCCCTCCCCCAGGTTTAGGAGGACTGTCCTTTGGGTTTATGCCTCCCGCTCTCATCATGCAGAGTGCGGGGGAACAGGGTGGCGGGGGTGGAGGCCGCATCCTCCAGAATGTCACTGTTCTCTGGCAGAGCCCTGGGTCAGCTTCCTCCTGGAGGCACAGATGGCCAGGACAGGCGCGCCAACCCTCTTCCTGTCACTCCCGCTCTCCCCTGCAGGTTCAGCGTGGATGTAAAATCCGCGCTCTCTGGTGCCCAGCGCCCTGGAGGCTCGGAGGCTTCACCCACCAGGGGCAGCGCCTCGGAGGCCATTCAGGGGCGGGCCAGCCACTCGTCTTACGCCAGCAGAAGCAGCCCTCGCCGCTTCTCAAGTTATTTGACCAGGACAGCTGGCGCGGGCGCTAACCCCTGGGACCTGAATTTCCAAGAGCGTTCTGTCCACCAGTGGGGTGAAAGCTGCCTTCTCGAAGGGCCTCCAGCCACCAAACCCCTCACCTTCCGGGGTCCCCAGGCCACCTCTTCCGTTCACTGTCAAGAGACAGGACGCGGGTTCCCGCCTCTCCCCCTGCGGGTGGGGGCCTGGGAGACTGGCCGAGCAGTGCTGACCGCCAGGCCAGGGGGAGCGAGCGGGCGGCATCACCTCGTGCAGCCGCTCCAGCGCTCTTGCTGACTCAAGGGGTTTATTTTTATTTCTATCTTGGGCTACTTCAGCTATAGCCATCGCCTGCATTTTTCTTCCCAAATTGTAAAAGGTGCCTTAATTATCCGAATTTGGCTTAATGCCCCTGAGAGAGAAGGGAAAGGGTGATTTAAAAAGAGCAAAAAAAGGCGCAGCGTCCCTCTGTAGGTCTGTCGGGCTCACTCATCCGCGCGCACACACACGCTCACTCTTCTGGGAGGGAGCGGAGCGCGGGGAGGGCAGCGGTGTGCGCGGGAGGCTCGCGCGGGTGTAGACGTGCGAGCGTGTACTTGAATGGGGAGGGCCGGGATTCCGGGTCGCTCGGGCCCCTCCTCCCTCCCGAGCCAGCCAGTCCCTCGGCAGAGCGCTCGGGCTGCACTGATTTGCTCTCGGGAGTGCGCTATTTGCATATGACTTGCCCATTTGTGAATTTGGCTCCCCAACTCCTCGCTTCACTTCACCTGTGCCTCCCAGTTCCGCGCACTTTGCAGGCGCCCGCCCGCCTCTCCGCCACTTCTGCCGCCTGCCGGGCACCTCCTCTGGCGTTCTCCCTGCTCGCCCACCCACCTCTCTCCGCCCAGGGCCACGTTGGTTTGGGTGGCTGCTCCGCGCTGGCTTCCCCCTCCTTGCCTCTTTCCCTCCGGTCCTTCTCGTTCTCTTTCTCCGGCTGCTGCGGCTGCTGCTACTGCTTTTCATCCAATTGGGAAACCCAGGACGCAGGCGGTTGCTCCGTGGCGCTCTTCCAGAACGCGCAGGGTTAACAGCCTCCGGGCCCTTCCACCGAGACTTCGGGAACACGCGAAGAACTCTCCCACCTGCAGCCCCCTTTTGCCTGGCAGTTCTGCAGTGCATCGCATGGAAGTGGAAAAAGAAAAAAAAATGTTCAGACTGCCTGGATGTTGGGATAAACTAACCTGAACCTTCTTGGGTCTCCTGCTGCCTCCCCCTTCTTCCTTCGTTGCCACCCTTTCTCTGTGTGGCTTTCCGGAGTGTGCAGTTGAGTCGCCTGGAGATCAGGAGGAACCCGCGCTGCGCCTCCCCTGACATGTGTGGCATTCCAGGGCTCCCTAGGAGGGTTGCTATACCTGGGTGGACTTTGGCTTTCTAAATTTCAGCCCCGGGAAAGAGGAGATTTGCCTTCTTTCTTTTCTTTCTTTTCTTTTCTTTTTCTTTTTTTTTTTTTTTAACTGATTCATCATCTGTCTTGAAAGCGCTTATTCCCTCCCTCTTTCCAAAATACGGGCAAGTATTCCTGCTGCTATGATGGGCCCTTGGGCATCATGAACTTCATTATTCCTCACTGGCTGGAATTCAAACTGCCCATCGGTAGTGGTCCAGTGCGTTGACCATGCACCTGAGAATCCACGCGAGACGGAGCCCTCCTCGGGGGCCGGCCTGGACGCTTGGGATCTGGTCCCTCTTCTGGGGATGTATCGTCAGCTCTGTGTGGAGTTCCTCTAATGTAGCTTCTTCCTCCTCTTCCTCGCCGGGGTCTCACTCTCAGCACGAGCACCATTTCCATGGCAGCAAGCATCACTCAGTGCCTATTTCTATCTATCGCTCCCCTGTTTCCCTTCGAGGAGGGCACGGTGGGTCTCTCTGCTCTTTATCCTTTTAATGGGGCATAGCGATTCCTTAACCCACTCGCCTTTCAGGTAATGTCAAGGGTGGGAAGATAATAAAAAATTGAATTTAAAATGATAAAAAGCATCGCATGTGCATGAGAGAAGAAAATGTCCAATTCCCCCTTAAAGGCTAGTGTTTTCTGCCCTGGCCCCTCAGTTTCTCTAATGGTTTCTCCTCTCCTTAGCTTTCTTATTCATAGCTTCACAAACACCACATTTTTCCCTTTGAACCTTCTGCCTCCTTCACTCTCCGCCCCCATGATGGCGAGCAACTTATAAGTCCCAGGTTTTGCACTTTGAGAATATCCATTCACCTTGCTTTCAACCCTTTTTTCAGATCTTGTTTTGGAGCAGGTCATAGGGAAACAGATAGGAGGGGTCCTTAGGTCTTCAGCCTGAATTTGATGGAACTGCTGTGAAGTGGCCTGTGTGGTTAAAGTCAGGGGGGAGAGTAGCTGAGTGTAAGAAGGCAGAAAATGTAATTAATAAAGAGTAGCCAGTATTGTTCATTTGAGCAGCTTTATGTTTGTCCACATGACTGAAAGACCAGTTGTTCAAAAAGCTACACATCTAATATTGCTAACTACTACATAGGAAGTGATTAAATAGATAAGACAGAGTCCATTTAGAATTTTCCCAAGTGTAAATTACAGTAAATTTGATTCCACCATTTATACCAATGTTATTTCAATTAAAGATAGCCCTGGTAGGCTTGTTCACACAATACAGGGATGATGTGTTTTGCTCCCAACAACCCTCCTCACATAGCTATTGAAGGAAGAGATCTATGGCTCTTAAAGACCTATTCAGCTCCGAGCAAGCTGCCCTCTGAAAGGGCGATGTCGGCCACCAAGGTGGGAGTCTGCTGTAGTAAACTGCTCCAAAGAAGGGATCTTCAATATTTGTTTACTATGCACTCTACTCTGATGGTGAGGACAGTAGGAATCACAGAGCCCGGCAGCAGGAGCAGCTCTCAAGGGAGTGGCACGAGTGAACCACACTCCAGGTCCCCTGCCCTAGCTTGTAGTTTGAAGACCTAGATAGAGCATGCAGACCCCATTCGGAACGTCAGTTCCTCCCACTGCCTCCTAGCCCTGGGCTTCTACTCTGTACTTTCTGTGGTGTTAAGCGGAAGCACATTGAGAAAATGCCAGCACATACTCTGGCTCTTTCTGGCTCTCTCTTTAAATTTTATTTGATGGAGTTGTCAAGCAGCTCCTAGCTTGTAAGGTTGGCGGAGAGGGGTGGTGGGAAGGAGTGAATGCTTGATCTTGATCTGGTTGCTGTTTTCTCTGACTCCTGCTGGGTCTGGTGTAGGCTTTCTTAAAAAAAAAAAAAAAAAAATAGGAGAGGAAAGAACTACAGTCACCCAAAAAGCAAAAGCCATTTCATCGAAATAGAAACTGTTAGCTCCTAAGGGGGAGAGGGACCTAGAGTGGGGGTGGGATTGTAAAGAGTGGGAAAGAAAAAGAGGGGAGTGGGAAATGGAGGAAGCCAGACAGACAATTACTAATAGCCGTAATTAAACATGGAAAGGCTCAGCGATAATTAGCTAAATTTCACTAATTAGTGTAAATGATCAGCAGGGAAATGGATATTATGCATTAGTTAGAGGTTATAGGTTGGCAGAGTCTTGATGTTTTCTGTTCAGGATGTAAACAGTTAAAAGCAGCTACTAGTTAAGTGATGGTATTTGCAGAGCCTTACTTCCCAGGGGTTCCTAAGTCTGTCAATCTCTCTCTCTGCTCTCTGTCTCTCTCTCTCTCCCTTTCAGCTAAAAGGGCTAAAGGGGTTGAGCCTTGCACAGATTAAACACAGCTCTATTCTATTGACTTCATTTCTTCAAGGATCAGTTGCTCAGTAACTTCTGAATCTTTTTGACTCATTCCCAGTCTGGTTTCTCATTAACCTGCATCTGATAAGGTTCGGTGTGATGGAAAAGGAGAACGGAGTAAATAAATAACTAGAAACCCCAGAAAAGGCCCTCACCCACCAGAGCTGTGGAATGCAGTGAACCCCAGGGTCTGGCATGGCTAAGATAAGAAAGCTCATGAATTCACCTCTTGAGTATCCTCTTTAAGTCCTGAAGTCCCAGCCCATTGATTTGGGGCTTGGAGAGAGAATGCATCTATATTAAGTAGGCTCCTTGCATATTTAATTAATGTTTTTGAGCTTGAAAACAAGAGAAGCAGCAATCAACAAGATGCCCCAACTTCTGACTCCAATCCCACATCCAAGCTGCGACCTTTTGTGTCCTGAAAAGACCGGAAGACCCCTCGGAGCTTTGCTAATGCACCTCCCATTCTTACTTGGAGTAGACTTGCTTTCTCCTAGTCCTAACTCCAGGACCACTAGGAGTTAGTCAACTAACGCAATTGTTTTAAAAAATCTTTTGGATGGAGGCACAGCACCATGAGACTAATGTTGTTACTAATAGTTCTCTGCAGAGTTAAAAGCAGCAGTCTCTTTTGTCTGGGAAGGAGTAAATGCCCTTCATTCTGGTATAAAATGAAAACTAGAGCCTTGAGTCCAAGAACTTTCTTTGAACTTGGAGATGTTTGTTTGTTTGTTTTACGCTGGTTCCCCTTGCTCATTTCCTGAGAAGCCAGAAGTCCTCAGAGTTGTCCTGTTAATCAGTTTTTGTCACCCCTCCGTCCAGACCACCCTGCCCAGGGCAGCCTAGAGAAGGCTGTGCTCCTTCATGAGTGCAGGAGACTAAGACCACAAGTGCCTGAGGCACCGAAAATACTCTACGGTTAGGATTCTGTCTCAGGACAGAATCAACTCTGTCTTCTTAAGTGGGATCTAGTAAGTTTTCCCCCTCCGTTTGTCCCTTCTCTCCTGCCATGCTCTCACCTACTTAGTAGTCAGCTAACATTTATTGAACATTTACTATGTGTCAGGCTGTGTGCTACTTGATGAGGATGGAAATCCACATAAGACATTGTGGTGTTTAGCCAGGGATAATTTCAGAAGTATTTTGATCATCTATAAAAGATAAGTGCTTCTCTAATGTAAAAATATGGGGAATGGAGTGAGGATCCAGCTATCAATTAAATTAATTAATATACAATTTAAATAGTCTTTATAAAATACAGTTTTGCATTCTTCTGTCATTCAGAATATCCATATAAGTATTTTTCATCCTCAACTTTATTTCCATCCTTAATATCATGCTTATCAAAGCTCCTAGGTAGTTTAGTGGTATGGGAAATAGAAATACGAAAATACATTTGTTTACCAACCTTCAGTTTCATAAAGGAGGTTTGTATATTTTTTCTCCTCTCCCACCTTTAAGAACTCCAGTGAGCATCTGCCTAAAAAATGCTTTCATACTTAGTAGTTTAGAAAACTGACTTTTCTGAGAATCTAGGTTTAGTATGTGCCTTGCATTTTATCCTCCATAAAATAGTAGGGCTTCCTGACCCTTTAGGAATGTAGGGAAACTCATTGAGGACACAAAACTCAATTTTATTTTATTTTATTTTTTTAAAGATTTTATTTATTTATTTGACAGAGAGAGAGAGAGCACAAGTAGGCAGAGTGGCAGGCAGAGGGAGAGGGAGAAGCGGCTCTCCACTGAGCAGGGAGCCAGACGTGAGGCTCCATCCCAGGACTCTGGGATCATGACCTGAGCAGAAGGCAAGCTGCTTAACCGACTGAGCCACCCAGGCGCCCCACAAAACTCAATTTTAAAAGGGAACACACCACAGTGTATTTAGAGGAAAGTCTCCTGCTTAGAAACCAGGGTGTGTGTGTGTGTGTGTGTGTGTGTGTGTGTGTGTAGGGGAGGCAACATGAGCCCTATTTGAGTCATCTCAGCAGAAGTGGTGGCCTGATCCTGCTAGTGACGCACGTGCCGGGCATCCTTCTTGTAAGAAATTGTGCTCCTCATTCATGGTCACAAAGACCTACCTCTTAACTTTTTCCAGCCATGAGGCTTGTTTTACTCTGATGTGTTGAGCACTTTCTTCTGCTCAGCCAGCTGCTTCCTAACCACATTCTCTCTCCCTTCCTTCTTGGGATTCGGTTTGCTTAATAATTCATAGTGTTGGTTGACAGATAAAATTGTAAGATTTATATGTCTTTGGCCTTGGTGATGAATTAATTAAATTGGTTTCTCCTTCTTTCTGTCCTCTAGATGCATTGTTTTTCTTCTCTCAAATTTGCTGGCAAGTGGTAGGTTTTGGGGATTCACTTGTTCTTGAAAGATTACCAAAGGAAGATTATAGTATCCTCCTGTAAATTTCCTTAGGACTTTCAGTGTGGATCGGTGCATGAGAGGAGGTGAGGACTGCCGTATCATAGGCACAGGAGGTGAGATCATTGGAACAATTGCTTTCAGGAAACAGACAAAAACCTTCACCAGACTGGGTGATGGCTGGAATTCCATAGTAAGAATTTTATTGTTTTATCATCTGATTTTGAATCTAGGAGGAGGAGTAACATTCTTCGTTTAGTGAATGATCTCAGAAGGTTTGCTTCACTAGGACCCTGGGTGATGTGAGAGGGAGGCAGATCTCTGAAGATAAACCTTGAACTTATCCATACTTCCCCTCCTTCTATTAGTTTGTTAGAGCTGCCATTAAAAAAAAAAAATCACAGACTGGGTGGCTTAAATGACAGAAATTTATTTTTGCACAGCTCTGGAGGCTAGAAGTCCAAGGTCATGTTGTTGGCAGATCTGGTTTCTTCTGAGGCCTCTCTCCTTAGCTAGTAGGTGGCCACCTTCTCATCATTTTGTCACATGCTCTTTGCTCTTTGTTCATGCATCCCTGATGTTTCCTTGTGTGTCCAAATATCCTCTTCTGTGAGGACACTGGTCAGGCTGGATTAAGCCTGACCCAAATGTCTCATTTTAACTTAATCAAAAAACTTTTTAAAGCTACCATCTCTAAATGCAGTCACATTCTAAAGTACTGGGGTTTAGGGCTTCAACATCCAAGTCTTGGGAGGACACAGTT